ATTGTTATTATCACCAATATTTCCAGCTGCTACTTGTGCAATCCATATTAGAACAAGCTTATTTTATTAAACTAAGATCACAAATTAAATCCTGAAGTAATCTCCTAAAATTGTTTGGAAGAATAGGACCTCTTCACTACTGTACAAACCATATAATAGGTACACATTTAGTCAGATGGCAAAATTCCTGAGTTCTGAACACAATTGACAATTTCTATCCTCAAAAGTCTTATAAGGCTGCAGTCCTAAACATACTAGGAAATAAGCCTAAGTGGACACAATATGTTACATGACACACTTAACCATGAATAGCTAACCCAACATTTACTCAGTTAATCGAATTGCCTGAGTTTGCACAATATACTGAACCATAAACTAATCCCCAGGACTGGATTTGCATAATAGGCTAGGTTAAAAATGTGCCTGACTAGTCTATGATTCAGTGTGCTATGCGAACACAGCTAGTGGAACACAGTTCTGAGAAAACAAGTATAGGGCTATGTTGTAGGTACCACTGAAGTCAGCGAGACGTACGATTGTGGAACATGTTTATGATGAAGTAGGCTGTAATGCGCCATAATAAGTACAGCAAAATGTTTTATAGAGGAGATACAGTTTATTCTTTGCTCTGTAAGAAGGAAGCTTACCAAAAAGCAACAGGAATAGGGCCACCCAAACAACAATTTTCCAAGTAGAGCTCCCACTATGAAACAACAGAGAACAATAACAAAAATCAAAGAATTACTCTCACAATGCTTTGATCCCAACAGTTTACTTAAGTGCTCAAAAAGCCCATTCTTCTGGTTCTAACTTAATCCTCTGTTTACTCATTAAGTTGGTTCTTTAGGACAGGAGTCCCAGAATGAAAAGATTCAAGAGACTATTACATAAACAGGCACCTGCAAGGATCGCTGTTATCTATGAAAAGACCTGCTGCTCCACCTTGCTGCATCATAGAAAAACTGTTAGAAAGAAAATCAAAACTTCCTACACTATTGTACATGGCCTCATACTGGTTTTCAATGGGAAACAGTTCAGTTACTGAAATTTTATAACTCATCCCTATCTTCTCAATAATTCTTGGTAAAGAGACTCTGAGAATCATACTGTATTTGGAAAGAATCACTGTCAGTTTGCAGCTCCCTCAGAACCTGACAAATTCTAGTTTTTGTAAAAAATTAAATTTTACTTTAGCTGAATGTTTAAATGTGGTGTAGGAAAAAGCCCCTTTATCTTTATAAAGGGATTACTATATCTGGGTACAAAAAATATCTTTGCTGTTTTCTAGTGATTATCTAGATTTTTGCTGCCCATATCTGATAGCTTTATTTTAAAAGTCTGGTTCTATGTGTTCATGAAGATACAGTTGCAAGAAAAAGTATGTGAACCTTG